CAGCAAAGAATTAACTCTGGAGTTAATTCTTTTCCTTGGTCCCCTGGTTCCTCTTCTCCTGGTGAACGAGACTCTTTTCCATAGTAGGTCTTATGGATGTTTCCTTAGCAAAGGAGCAGAGAGGCAGGAGGCAGGGAAGCACCAGCAAAGAATTAACTCTGGAGTTAATTCTTTTTCTTGGTCCCCTGGTTCCTCTTCTCCTGGTGAACGAGACTCTTTTCCATAGTAGGTCTTATGGATGTTTCCTTAGCAAAGGAGAAGAGAGGCAGGAGGCAGGGAAACACCAGCAAAGAATTAACTCTGGAGTTAATTCTTTTCCTTGGTCCCCTGGTTCCTCTTCTCCTGGTGAATGAAACTCTTTTCCATAGTGAGTCTTATGGATGTTTCCTTTAGCAAAGGAGAAGAGAGGCAGGAGGCAGGGAAACACCGGCTTCTGGGAGCTCAACCAGCTCCACTTCACACCATGGTAGGTGCTGTCTTCCCGGTTTCCGGGCAGATACTACCAATGCCATGCTGTTTCAAGCCAAAACTGCCATCCAAATACGTGCGAAAAAGAGTTAATTCTGGATTTAATTCTTTTCGAGGAGCCCTGAAAATGAATTAACTCTGGATTTACTTCTTTTAGATAGACAGAAATCGACTGATATATGTGGAGCCAGCAGGACCCTGTGGGAAAAGAGTTAATTCTTTTACATGGCAGCATTCAAGGAGGAATTAACTCCCAAGTCAATGCTTCTGATGGAACCCTTGATTGATGAGTAGCAAATCCTGAAGAATTAAGTCAAGAGTTAAAACTAATTAACTCTTGTATCTACTCTTTTTCCTCGACTCGAACTCCGCGCGGAGTGACCGGCCTAGGCGGAGCGTGACGATGACCTCCTCCCAAGCGCTGCACCACGGCAAGGACCCGAAGGTCGCCAGGCTGCAGCCTGCGAGCAGCAAGTGATGGGGTTTGTCGTATACCACTCGTTGAACCCACAAGCAGCAAGCTGACTCAGGGCTCGGTGCAGAAGGGCTCACGGCTGGCTCAGCAATCCATACTATACAACAAGTCTCTGATTTGGCTGCGTTGGGTGCGTCGTTTTGGCCGGGGTATGAAGTGACCCACGGCATCGAGGTACCGCACAAGTACTGCAGTTCCTCCCAGAAAATCCAAAGGTCTTCACACTGAGCTGCTCTTGGAGACCGGAACCTGATTTGGCGACGACCTGATGCACCCAGAAACCTCGCACGTCTTGCAATGGCCACAGCACTGATGAAGTCTAAAACATCCTTTGACCGCGGGGAATCGCGGGAATTTCAGAACAAACACATCACCGGACACAAACACAAAAGCTTAGTGGACCTGGAAGATGGATATTGTGGTCAACTGTGCTTCCTCTATACAAGTATCTATACAAGCTAGTACTCTGGGAGTGTTGACTGTTGACTATTGGCTTTTAACATTAGTCTGTGACACGTATGTTTACATACGGATTGGGTCGGTGCCCTGCGTTCAGGGCGTTGGTTCAACCACCATGAAGCACCAAACCCCAACCGGCGCCGCGGTCATCTGACCTGACCCCAGGCATTGGCCGCGATGAAAGATCTCCACCAGATCGCCGGCAGCGTAGCCTTGGCAGGTCTGTTTCTCTGTGTGCAAGTTCATTTCATTGGGGAATTTCTAGGAATTTCTGAAGCAACTTAATTAGAAGTTCAGAAGTGCCAGGTAGTTTCAAGCAACCTGTTCTACTACAGTAGCAACGTAAAGGGACCATTTTTTGATGTTGGACATAGAAACACCCAAGAACGTTTCCTGTATTTAGCCATGACCTGCTGCCCAGCGGCTCGTCCGGGCAGTCGCCACCAGCACAGGACCGCAGCCTGGCATCGGCAGCAGCTGCAGCCCCTGAGCCGCGCTCAGCTCATCAGCGCTGAGTTCGGTCCTGAAGTTTTTCCACCCGGACCATGACAATGCTCACTTTAACAAGATCTATTGCCACTTCTTTTTTTTTTGAACTTCAAGCAGCCTTCGGTCTAGCCGGTAGCCTTGATCTATTGCCAAAACAAATATCATGCAGTCATGCAATTTGAATTCTTTGTAGGGTCGGGCCGGGGCTTTAGATTCGAGTCAGAGTATTAAGCAGCATCAAACTTGTGAAGTGTTGGGATACATTGATTTGACTGCCGAAAGCCATCGACAGACTTCTTTTCCATCTCTGATCGGTGCCTCTCACTCAGATGATTATGTTCACCACAGCTACAATCTTCGAGACAACCGCCGGCACAAGGTCGCACACGGAGGGTTCCACCACCTGAACTGCCTGGGATTGCCTGGGAGATGAGCTTTGCTGCACCAAACCACGCTGATTTTCGCAGCCTGTCAGGTGGCTCAGTCCTTTTCGTGGTCTGGCTGGTGCTGCTCGGGGTGCCTTGGAGGCCGGGGAGGAGGACGAAGCCTTTGTCACCAAAGTCCAGGCCAGCCAGCAAGAGGGCCATGTGAGCCTTCAGAAAGCCTCAGAAAAGTGCGAAAAGGGCTCAACAGTGGCTGTGCTTGGTGTATTGTTATAAAGTCATTATTATTAGCCATATTATAGTATTAAACGTATTTAAAAGTAATAGTAGTATAGTAGTAGTAGTAGTAGTAGTAGTAGTAGTAGTAGTAGTAGTAGTA